AAATTTTAGTTGAAAATATTAATCAAAATTATGTAATTTTGATTATAATAACAAAAAAATCAATAGGCCATTTTACAGTTGTGTGCTTAGTTACCTGGCCTTTAAATGCAAGCGAGGCAAGAGGTGACCTTGCTTTGATACAGACCTCTCTGCTTTTTCATTTAAATGCCAACTAGTTAGCGTAAGAACAACTTGATTTACACAACAAAAGCAGTGAGGTCTGTATCAAAACAAGGTCACCTCCAGCCTCACTGCTATTCATGGGCCAGGTCACTGAGCATACATCTGTAAAATGGTCTATTGGAAATGTTTTCCACCTTGAAGAAACAAAACTTCAAATTAGACAATGATTGATCCTCTGAGGTGTGGGTTTTTGAGATAACTGCAGAAATTCTTGCGCCCTCGTTGGCTAAGAAGTGGACAGACACATGAATTCATAATTTATGGGATGCGTCAACGAGCCAGAGCGGACAATTTGACAATTTGTTATCATAAAAAAAATTGATGTAAGTTTTTCATGCGTCTGTCCTGTTATCGACAATGAATTTTGTTATAACATTGTCAAAGTAATCTGCAGATCCACTCGACTGTCGCCTCATGGATCCACAGCTACTTTGACAATGTTATGGCAAAATTCATGATCAATAACAGGACAGATACATGAAAAACTGACATTAACTTGTTAAACAGATATTTTTTGGAAACTCAAAGATGCCAAAAACAAATATCCACCAACTAAAAAAAATACAGATATCTGGGAATGTAAAAAATAGTGAAAAAAATCATTTTTGATGATTTGATGATCTGTAGAGGAGAGTGGAAGATTCAGTCTGTATCCAGGAGACTCACAAATAGTCCATGAGGGTTAGCATAGATGGGCTTCTTTGGGCTTGTTGTGCAAATTATCTTCTTCCCCCACGAGTGTTCATTGGAAGGATGATTGCATGATGATCCCAAACAGCATCTGCGTAGGAGGCTAGTATAGATGTAGTCAGACCAGAAATTATATCAGAGAAATTATCAATGATTTTCTTTTTGACTGCTGGCTGCACTGTCAAGCTTTACAATCTCCAGCTGTTACAATAAACTACAACGATGACTTGTAACAATCAGTTGCTTTATTTCTAAAGAAAATTGAATTGACTTCCCGGCTGAATCAGTCTACCTACAGGGATGGCAGAGCGTATTTTGAATTGGGGGGACTTACAAGCGAGCACCAGAGGTGCTAACTTGTTGGGGGTCTGGAGATATTTGTAAAATTATTATTTTATGTATTTTTTGCTTAAAATTGCCCTGGCTCCACCGTCCCTGAGCTATAACTCAAACTCAATCCCAGGCTCTCTCTCCTTTGCCTCCTGTCTCAATGACAAGGGAGGCAAAGGAAAGATAGTCTGGGATTGAGGTTGGCTGTTGCTGCTCCTGCACATGTGAGACTCCACCATAACCCTGCTTGCAGGCTAAGATTATTAGTTTCCACTTGAAGGGGGTGTCCACCTTATGCTTTTGAATTTTAATAAACATGAGCTACAAGAACATCTTGATGTTCGGCAAATAATTACTGCAAATTATTTGCAATATCAGCTGCTATTATTGGATGTTATGATATCTTGGTCTATTTGTTGACTGTCAGCATCCCCAGCACTTCATCAGCTGTTGTCTTGGTTTGTACTCGGATTTGAGGTTTGCTCAACTGATGATTTGGTAGGTTCTTGAAAAAGTCTCATTGTTCCAATTCCAAAAAGACCTAGTATAAACAGGAAAACAAAAAAAATTGTTATTCAAATAGGAATAAAATGATTACAGGTTGAAATAAACTTGGATCATGTGCGCTAAAGGCATCAGCAGTCGAGTGTCGATCAATAACTTCGATCAACACTCCATCGATACTCGATTGACACCTGTGTTGACACTCAGTGGACACTTGATCAACATCTCAGTTGACAGTCAGTCAAGAGTCAACTAATTTTTGCAGACACATCATAGAGTGACAATCAATACATGTGAGTCCATCGACACTCTGCTGATTATCAACTGACTGACCACTGAGTGTCGATCAGGTGTCCACTGAGAAGTTGATTGAGTGTTGACTGAGTACCAATTGAGATGTCAATAGGTGTTGATCAATGGTCGATCGAGGGTATCAATCAATACTCGACCACAGATACCTTTAGTACATATTACCCTAAATTTATATGGGGTAACAAGCTACAGAAACAAGAGGCACTTTATTTTTCCAGTTCTTAAGAAGCCATTTATTGTGGAATGGCAAACACAGCCTAAATAGCATTCTGGTTAGCCTATACTAAATAGTATGCTGACCAGGCCAGTTAACTTAAATTAGCACTGGGGTAACCCTGTCTGACACTTGTTAATCTTTTTTCATTGACAAGAAAAGCAAAATAAAATACCTCTAAAAGATGGTACTACAGAAATTGAGAACGCAGTTCAATTTCATACCCAAAGAAACTGATGTTGTGATATTCTCTGAAGTCCTTCTTTTCAGACAAGGATCATAAAAGATCAGATCATAACACCATATTTGATCCATTTCTGTGTTGAAAATCACTGTAATTGGATCATTTGTTAAGTATCCACCCTCTCCCTCTTGATCTTTTCAACACTCCCCCCACCCTGTTGTTAATGAGTGTTAGGTTTCTTCAGTTTGAAGTTAAGTTACGTTTAAGAGTTAAGCTGTATGTCTTCAGATTATTATGTGACAGAGTAATTGGTGGCTTTTAAAGATGATTTCTTGTCCGTGCTACACACTCTCAAGAGTTTGCTTGCGTTTTTTTGTTTTGCTTCATGTAAGACATCACAAAATGTAAACATTTTGCAACTACTTACATGAAGTAATTTCAAAGTTTCAAATCAACCCCCATTATCAATGCGAAGCAGTCAAAGCTTTATGCTTCATTCTTTCTCATATCACTTGATGAAACAACTTTGCAGCTGTAAAAATCAATGAAGCTGTTGGAAAAAGAATTTGAAAGGCCTC